GGAGAAAGATTCGAGATGGTCTTTACAGCGAGAAAGTTCCAATATATGTCTCGTTATGATTGGGCATTTCAAGTAAAAGGTATTCCCTTAATAGTGTTAACTTTATAAAAGTTGTTCGGTCATTAAACTTTACGTAAAATAAAAATAATAGTTTTCGTGAGTTCCTACACTGGAAATTCATTCTCATTGTCTAAATAAGGAAGTAGATCTGCATGGCTTAGCATTTGATTTTTGGATTTTCCAGTTATTTATAAGGATGTTATTCGTTTGTAAACGTGCTGCGAGGGATAATAGACGACAGTGGCTCTATGAACTACTGATCGTTCTATGCTCATTCGCTTACAACCATGAAAAAACCAGAGTGTATGACAGCAGTGCAGAGGCGCGTCGGCTCCTTCTCAAGCTCTCGCTTTAACTTCTGCAACTTTTAAACTGACTTTCTGGACATTTATCCATTGATATTTCACATTCCGCTAATTTTGATTTAAAAGTCAAGATGTAGATGGAGGGTACTACAGATATTTAGTTGAAGTTTTTTTTTGGAAGAGCCATAACTATATAACCACAGTGGATGCCCTATCTATAGTGCATTTTTGTCACTCAGAAATATCATATACTTTACTGAATATGAATTAATGAGTTCAAGGATTGCTTGAATCTTTGCCTGCTAGCTACAGTACTAAATATTGGATTCGCGTTTTATCGAACAAATTATTAGAAAATAAAGAAGTTATTTTCTTTCAAGGCTCAGAAATTTTACTCTCAACTTTAGAGGAAATCTGGTTCGTTAGAGCTGTGTTTTGAGCTATTGATTTCTAAAATTAACGTGACGAGACAGCAGAAAGAAGCCTCCCGTTGTAATCTGTGGAATGATTGTTCGCTGCTGAGTGCAGTTTGTAACGTATCTAGCAAGTATCTGCTTGCTATTTACTTCTTCCCTCAATACCGTGACATAATTGAGCAAAACGCATTCTTTCCCTAGGTTGTTCTTCCTGAGAAAGTAATCGACAATTAGTGTGCTCCACGGCCATTTCGGTGCCCATAAGTAACTCAACCTGCCTACATTTCAAATCGGAAACAAGAGAAAAAATGGTCATTTTAAGGAATTATTATGTAATAAGAATTTACCATGAAATACTACGATCAACGAAAACTTCATGACTAATTGTCTTGATTGGAACTGTGTGGTAACCACAATCAATAATTTTCTTCACGCCTTTCTTTGAATCTTTCAAATCTCTTTCGTTATTGCGTCATTTTTAAATTTCTAAAATAAGTTTTATCATTTGTCTTGTTTCAGAACTCTCAGATCTTCATGGCAGCCCATCCAGAAGAGCATTATGAGTCGGTACTTGCCAGTCGTTATTGTAAACGCAGTCCTCTCATCGAAATCCTTTCCGAAAAGACCAAAGTTAGTAGTTTATAATAAGCAGATGTCATAACAAGCTTATAGTTTTCTCACAGACGATTTTGTGGCGGCAATTGTGGATATGGTTGGCTGAAGCAGAGCTAGAATTGGGTTTAAGACAGGTATGGACTCTCACCACTTTCCTCATTGTGGCTTGGTCGTGACTTATTTTATTCATGCAATCTTTGAAAATCACTTCAACATCTTGCAAACATGCATGACCTCTCTTGATTCATTGATTTATGCATTTATTAGTGGAAATCGCATAACGGAAAATTAACAGGTAATCTCAGCGTACAAGAGTATGAGATGTATGAATGTTCCTCACATCTCTTTCCGGCTGATCAGATGATTGGCACTCTCCTTTTCTTTTCAACGCGATTGAATGTGCCCTGGAACATATGTATGACGATTATCACGAAACATTTGATTACTATTGTCAAATTAGTAGGCTATAGGCGGTCTGCTTCAAAGACTCTCTTGCTGCTCTTTTAACTTATTAGATTTCTGTCAGCTCTGAACTCCACAGAGTGAATCAGCTACAAAGATTTTGAGTAAATTTTCTGAAAATGGAAGAATCCTCTAAATGCTCCTCGCTCCCTTTGCAAAATTTTTGCAATCGTTTTCGTTTGAAAGTGTTTTCTGCACACCTTTTGCATCCAATAAGAAAAAAAAATAGGAAATACTTCATATCTGCAGTTTTTTGTCTAAACTCATTTTCAGATGTTTAGATTACACCTGAAGCAATAGAACAGATGAAGGAAATGCGTGACAACATCGATTGGCCAAAAGTCCGTGAAGAAGAACGAAGGTTGAAGCACGACGTCATGGCTCACAATCATGCCTTTGGAGCTGTAATCATTTAATCTAGATTTTCCCCGCGTAATATTCGCTGTCGCGTTTATATTCTTTCAGATATGTCCTAAAGCTGCTGGAATAATTCATCTTGGAGCTACATCCTGCTTCGTTCAGGATAATGCTGATCTCATCGTGATTCGAGACTCGGTCAGACATCTGCTATGCAAGTAAGT